TTTGTTTGAGACAGCGTCTGCCTTGTTCTTTCCCCTGCTTCGCCATTTCTGGACCCTGCAATTGCCTAAAAGTAGCGCAAACGTGCTAGCCCTTCCCCGCTCACCTGGCGAACCATGGCCGTCAAAAACGTGGTTGGGGAAGGTGCCAAATAAAGCAATAAAATATGGAGTTAAAAAAATTGTAAAATCAACAAAGAAACAAGAAAAGCAGCCGCCGTCCCCTGGCAAGCCTAACATGTTCTGACAAGTCGCACGAAGAACACCAAAGCGTTAGCACGCGCCCCTCTTTCTTCCCGTGAAGTTGTCTCTACCCGGTCCTTTCCAAGGGTTGACGTTTTGCAAATCAGTGTCAAATAAGGCCTGACAGACGGTCGGTGTCGGATATGTGACCCCACTTCTGGCCGTCGTTCTTGCCTACTTTGTGCTTTCCGTGGTGTCGGGTTGCGTCCAAAGAGAGAGACCGAGTCCAAAGAAGATGGGACGAGAAAGAGGACCAAACAGACGTGTGACCAGCCTGGAGCATCGTGCATTGTCGTATTGGCCAAACCCACATGGTCTTAGGGGCATTGCGTTGCGCATATTTGGCGGGCGGTGCTCCTTGCGACGCTGGTCATCGGCGCGCTACGCCGGGCAGTTCCTTCCCAGTCGTCTTCGTTGCTCTTTCTCTTTGGTATCGAAGATAACTACTGGCGGTTCGGGCTCACCCACCTTGTCCAAGTACCTTCCATTGGAAAAATGCGCCTTTAGCTGCCTCGGGGACCTGCCTAAAGTGTTTGGCGCTGTTGCATCAGCGTGGAACTCCTGCCGCCAAAAGGTAAGAGAATGGGGCATTTAGGGCCCTCTTTGCCTGCCACTTCTCACGTGGTAAGTTGGAGGAGAGTGCTGGATGCTGATAGCCAGGGGCCCACGCTGTCATGTCAGCTAAGGGCAGGCGCTATTCCTGGACGACGCTGTCCGTTCGTCTGGCCTCGTCATCTCCCAGCTTTGAGGTTCTTCCACACGGTCCGCCGTTTCGTTTACGACGTGAGGCCTTCTCTTCTCCACGCACACGGAGAAAGGGCTGATTTCCAAGCATGCTCAGGGCAGGCAGGATACGGAGTATTGCCAGCTCGACAAATCACCATATCGATCCGTCCACCGCCGACTTGCCACATCTCCAATTCGTTTTGGTCGTTGCCTGTTCTGTGGCTCCCCCCCTCTCTATTTTGCCTGTGAAAACCAACAGAGGAACCCTCCCCATTGCCACCCTGTTTTGGGGATTTGTGGCACTCGATCAAGCCTTGTCCGTTCTTGCGCCCTGCAACGCATAATCCGTACCCGCCATCCGACGTTTTTGCTACCCTGCATGGCCGTCCACCCCCCTAGCCAACTCGAGCTCAGCTACTGATGCAACGTTGGATGCTCTTGAAGACATGAACATTGCGAATGTCCCTGAAGCAACATGGCAGCTAACCGCGTTGGAAGACTCTTGCCAACCTCTGGGTTGTCTCTGACTGTTTGCCGGTTGAACATGCTTGTCTGTTGGTTGTCTACTGTGACTTCTCGGGGTGTAGCTGACTTTGATACTCCGTCGTAAGTCCTAGCGCCAAAGTCGCGTGTTGTGCTCCTTTTGTCAGTGGGCGCATGTCGCCTCATGGTCCACCCCCCCTCTTCTACCACTTGGGGCCGTTTTTCCTCCGCCTTTCGTCGGAAATACAGGTCCCCTGCACCGGTCTTTGGCACCCCATTGTTTTTGCACCTATTGCTAAATAGACGAGGCACAGACAGTGGAGGGAGCGACACAACCCTTGCTGATGGGGTAAAAACCTGCTGGTCCAATCCCATGGCTCCCAGCACCTGCACACCAAAATTAGCGCTGCAACGGGGGGAGGGGGAGGAGTAGGGAACGAAGCCAGAAGCGGACGTCGAACATTGCTTTCTTTACCTGCCCCTTGCTGTTCGCCCACGACAAAAAGTGTTTCGTGGAGCAACAAACAGGATGCCAGCGAACTGTGCGGACGATGCTCTGGTCTCCGCCGTCCGCGCCTGCTCGAACGAGCAATGAGCATAGAATCGAACCCAGAAAGTCGCCCGCAGTCCCCCCTCCTTCCCGATCCATGACCCGCCTGACGCAAGACACGAGAATGGCTAGAATGGGCAGGAACGACTGACTTTGGCGAGAGGCAAAAAGGTATTCCATCTCACCCCAACTTGTTTCTTGGCGGCGCTGTCCGGGTCTCCGTTCGTCGTAGTATCGTTGCAGTAGCCGACAAAGGTGCATGAAGTACTGCGAAGCTTGTATCATCATCTTGCAATCAAAGACAAGACTGCTGTCGACCTGGCGCCGCGTCCGTTTCTCAACGGCTGTCGCCTGTCCTGTAGTCCACGAACGGAGAAACCGCAACCTAGATCCTTCCCAAACTGAGCTCCTTCCTGTGTTCTGATTCCTTGGCCTCTCGTTCCCTCCTGCCAAGAACGTCCAAGCCCTGGACCGGAAGCCAACAGCGACCTTATTATGCGCTGGAGTGCGCCTTCCTCTCTACGAATTACATATCCAAAGCTCCTTCCTTTCTCTCTGTGCTCTTCGTTTTGGCACCTGTCTCTTGTGTATTTTTCTGTTGTTTGTAAATTTGACTGCCTTTTGTCTCCCTTTTCTCATTCTTCTTCTCCCGTCGTTTACCGAAGACATCACCAACCCACTCTGTCGTTGCTCACCACCCAGTGCGTGGACCGTGGTTGCCACATGAGCTGTTAGTGGTCCCTGGATGCTCTGGGTCGACACAGCACCAGGTAATTATCTTACATCGCATCGACTTGCACCGCTAAAGCCGCCGTCAAGACGGCATGTCAATGCCTCGTCCTCTTGCCCACCAAACCGCTTGACCAGTGCGTCCCAGCTTTGCGTCTCGGCTACCCTTTGCATCGGCCATTTGAAACCAGCAATTCGAACCGTCTTTCACCGTGCCGCCCTGCTCGTGCCCACAACTGAGTCTCGCCAGACTGAAGCCATCCCGCCTTTTCCCACTGACGTCGCCTTACGACGCCCAGCCGTTTACTTTTGACACCTGGGCAGCCCAGCTTCACCGGGCCTCGAGCCTCGACGTCCCAGCTTCCCTCTAGCCCGGCTGTGCACCCTTGAAATCCGTCCCGTTTCGCGATTCGCTAGGGCCTTTGCCTCGTTTTGTTTTCTTTATTTTTGGTCCCTGCCTGCGATTTGGCCGTTTCCCGATTTTCTTGTTTTTATTATTTCTCTTTCCCTTTATTTGTCCAAGTCCGTGACTGATTATCGAATCTTTACGACACACATATACGCCCGTCCAAGCTTCTTCTGTCTCCTTCTGTCTTCTTCCGTCTCTGTCGATTCCGGCGACGTCAAACTACCAATTACGCATTCGCCTTTCGTCGCAGCATCTCAAGCTTCTAGCTTCTGGCTTGTTCTCCATCCAACGAACTCGCCATATCTGTTCCTCAACACTTTGGCCTGCACTTGTCCATTTGTGCTTTGTGCTTGGCTCACAACGGACTAGCCGATCCAGCCTTCCCCTGCGTTTCCGTCCCCAGGATCCTTCTAAACCAAAGAACACGCTCTCTACTGCGTCCATACCTCGAAAAATCCCCAACTCGTTTTTACTGCACCCGACCTAGCCAACTGGCTGGCTGCCTTTCATTTTCTGGCGCGCCATTTTCCTAGCAAAGTTCCAGAGGATACGACGTACATAGTTCTTTCCCCTCCCCAAGTCTTCGACCTAGACCGGATTCCGCACACTTCGTCGCAATAGTGGGTGCTGGTGCACCGTCGAACCGTGTTCCCTGTCCCTCCGCCACGGCCAGGTCTCCTCCGCACTTTGCCTCTTCGGTCTTCGCCATAGCTCACCCCAGAGCCACCAAGAAATGTATTAAGAGGGCAACCCCATTAGACGAAAAGACTGAAAACGAGCAAGACATTGAACGACTGATCTTCCCGACTCACAAGTTCAAGCGACGAAGCACAAGACTGTCACTGAATACGCAGGCAAAAGACGAAGCGCCAAACCACTGATTCGACTAACAGCGCCAACAACCAAGCGATAGAAACCGAAAGACGCCGGCACAAAACTTCGAAACCACACGAATCCCCAACAGACAAGAAGGCCCCGAGTCCGGCGCATTCCCCCTTCTGTCCTGTTACTCTTCATCACTGTTCTGTTTCCCTCATTCTCGGCGGGTTTCCCGAATTGAAAAGGGTGAAATAAAAACGCGAGTGACAAACTAGCAAAATAAAAAGGAAAGACCCGACCCTTTTGCCTTTGCCTGTTTGCTGCCTCTCACTTTTTTTTCGTCCACACGCCAATCGCTAGCCTCCAACATAGACGAGACGGCCTGAGTGTTAGCCTGTGGCAGTTCGGAGAAATCGAGCAAGCAGCCGAACCAAGGAGCGAGAGTCAAAGGACGAAGAGTCGAAGAAAGAAGGAAACAATCCACCGTCAAACAACCAGTCTACAGACGTTCCAAAGACAACTACGACGTGCATCGTGCAGGCAAGGATTCGACGCACGGCGCGACTCCTATCCCCTGCAACAAAACACAACGCCACGCACCACAAAGAGGCACAGTCAAACAGACTTGTGCTGTCTGACCCAGGCCGCAGACACAGAGGATCCCCGGACAAAGCAATCCACGCTGCGATACCGACGAAGCCGAATTTAAACAAAGTCTTTTGTCACACGAACCGTTGCCTCGACTTGTCGAATGCCCTGCTGCAACTGGCACCCGCCTTTGAACATCGCTCCCATTGCCATCGCTGCCGTTATCGCCGCCGAGCTGTGCAGTGAATGAAGTACGCCTATTTGCCGCGAGGCTGAGTGTGCTTACGCCAATCTCGAATACGCAAACGTTCGACGTCTCGTGCCAATCGTTGCTCGAGCTCTCCCGCTGGCTCCCTTTCCCTTTTCGCATACCACTTTGGCTCCCTGTTTTTGGGTTTACCTCGACGTCTACTTTTGTCGTGCGTTACACAAGCCCTATAGGCTTGCACGCCCACCATGTCGACCTTCTTGAGCAAGCTCAAGCCGAGCGCAGTAAGTCACGCAGAGAACCTTGAACACTCCGAGTCCCCTCCAACCAGCCTTGACGTCGTCCTTTACGCCGCGCGCGACAAATCCGTCAATTTTTTGCAGTTCCTGTCACTCGCCAACAATGTAGAACTACCCACTAACGGTTGTGTTTCTTTCCGTCGAGTATAGGCCGCCGCAAATGCTACCAACAACGTAGCCCAGAACAAGAAGAAGGAGGAGCCACCGCCGGAGCAAACTCCGCTCGAGAAGATGTTGATGAATGCCGGCCCGATTCGCGATGATGGAACAGACAAGTTTTTTGGACTTGAGAACGTATGGTGCTCCCCCTCGCGTGAAAGACAGAACGTCGCCCTAGAGTGCACAGCTAACATACATTGCCTTTGCAGTTCGGAAATTCATGGTACACTCTCAGACTCCAGTACCCTCCCGCTTCTTTAGACCACCCGACTCTGTATCGCTCCATGAATCACTGACACTTGCTTTACTTGTCCAGTTACTGCAACTCTATCCTCCAAGCACTCTACCACTCGGACACGTTCCGCGAAAATGTCGTTCGATTCCCACCATACTCCCCGGCTGGCACGCCGAACGGCAAGCCAAGGAAGGTTGTCGTCAACTTTCGCAAGCCCTCCGAACCTCCGCCCAAGTCGCCACTCGTGCCAGGGACTGCCGCCGCCGCTGCCATTGCCGCTGTCACCAAGGAGACTCCCCAGCAACCAACAGTCAAGGGACGGCCAGCGGCCAACCCAGGCCAGCAACCGAATGGCCAGCAGGGCACTCGTCCCGAGGACAAGCCGGATACACCTGAATACAAGAAGAAGCAGGCGATGATCAAGGGTCCCGTGCTCGATCTGACAGACAACGCGAGCGCATATGGTATGGAGCAGAGCACATTTACGAGCGTCAAGGACATTTTTATGGCCTGGATCGAGAGCGACTCCCGCACCGGCGTGCTTAGTCCCATCCACCTTCTCGATATGTTCCGCAGAGACAACGAACTTTTCCGCACATCTATGCACCAAGATGCACACGAATTCTACGGCCTGATGCTGAACGACATCATTAAGAACGTTGAGGAGGCCGCCCTGCAGCGCCAGGAAGAGGACAAGGAAGGCCTCAAGAAGTCCGTTCAGGCAGCACTTGGTGACAGCCAGTCTGTTAGTGCATTGACAAACGGCACCTCCACGCCGGGGTCGGGCTGGGTGCATGACATCTTCGAGGGCGTTTTGACGTCGGAGACAAGGTGCCTGACCTGCGAGTCCGCGTCACAGCGTGACGAGACGTTCCTTGATCTGTCCATCGATCTGGAGGAGCATTCGTCTGTTACGTCCTGCCTGCGCAAATTTTCCGCCGAAGAGATGTTGTGCGAGCGTAACAAGTTTCACTGCGACCATTGTGGGGGTCTTCAGGAGGCCGAGAAACGCATGAAAATCAAGCGGCTGCCAAAGATTTTGGCCCTGCACCTCAAGCGCTTCAAGTACTCGGAGGATTACACCAAGCTCGAGAAACTGTTCCATCGTGTCGTCTACCCTTACCAGCTGCGCATGTTCAACACCACCGACGAAGCCCAAGACCCAGACCGCTTGTACGAACTATACGCGGTTGTGATACATATTGGCGGTAATGCGTACCACGGACACTACGTCTCAGTGATTAAGACGAAAGAGCGTGGCTGGATCTTGTTCGACGACGAAATGGTGGAGCCGGTTGACAAGCACTATGTGCGCAATTTCTTCGGCGACAAGCCCGGGACCGCGTGCGCGTATGTGCTTTTCTACCAGGAGACCACGTTTGAGAAGATGCAGGCGGAGCAGGAGCTCGAGGGTCTCGAGGAAATTCGGCTCGCCAACATGAGCGCCGGCCTGGCCTTGTCCCCCGAAGAACAGGCCCTGCGGGCCAACGGAATTCAGAACGGCACCGGCTCCCTGTCTCGTCAAGTCACGCAACCGGCCGTCGCCTCGCCCGCTGATCTGCGCGAAGAGTTTATCGGCCTGGAGCACGCAAGGACCGCACCCGGAGCCGTTCTAACGCCGATCTCCAGTGCACCTAACGTGCCACCTTTGCCAGCGGGCGTCTCCGATTCGACTACAACACCAGCAGCACCAACGCCAACTGCACCGGTTGTGCCGCCTGCACCAGCCGTGAATGCGAAGCTGGAGGCGGCTCGCCTCAAGGAGGAGAAGGAGCGCGAAAAGAGAGAAGCCAAGGCGGCTGAGAAAGCTCGAAAGGTGCAGGAGAAGGAGAATGCGAAGGAGCTGGAGCGGCAGCGCAAGGAACGTGAAAAGGAGCGGGAGGCACAACGAAAGGCCGATGCCGAGGAAATGCGGAGGGTGATTGCCGCGAGCAGGCAGACGGCAGCCGAGGAGAAGGACGCGCGCAAGAACAGCATCGACAACGCGGCAGGTGGTGGCAAGGCGGCCGGCTTCCTCAGCCGCAGTGGGCGCGGTAGCAAGTCCATGTCGCGCAAGAGCTTCAACTTCCTGGCCAAAGAAAAGCTGGAGAAGGCGACCATCCCCGAGTCACCATTCAGCAGTGAACAGACCACGGCGTTGAGCAATGGGTCCACCAACGGCAGCAGCGTGGCCTCTTCCAACGGAGCAATTCCACCGACGGCGCCACTGGCCCAAACACAGTCGCCAACATCGTTGCCGCCGCTACCTGAATTGGCCCAAGCCGACAAGCCGGTGCGCAAAGAGCGGTTCAGCTTCAGCCTGGGCCGAAAGAAGAGCAACACGTTCCTTTAATGGAGCAGCGACGAACTAGCCGTGGTGCGCAGACATGGCACCGACACAACGTGCAAGAGGAAGAAGCAAGAAAAGGGGGCTGAAGCGCCTCGGTGGGCATATTTTGGTTGAAGCCTACTTTTGGTGGAATGTTTGACGAAGTATTACCCGCATCTAAGTTTTTATTATTGTTGTAACTGGTCGGTGTTTTGACGATGCTCTTGTCGTTTCTTCATATCCAAGGTGTTGAAGTGGTCATTTCATTTTACCGTTTGATTTTTCCCATTAATTTTTGGTTTTCTACTCTCTTTTTGTGTTTGTATATATGAAAAGGGCCATATACTCTTTCTTATCCGACTCTTGCGCGATTTCCACCCTTTGCATCCTCATCGCTATTGCGTCCGAAAAAAGGTGTCCAAGTAGTAATGGTGTGGCTTGCTTGCTGTATTTACCTCTCTGTCTGCCTTTTCATTTCCTTTGAACCGTGGAGTATCTTGGATCTCTATTGGAAAGCAGAGAAGGATTTCAATACGTTTGAACATCTTAGGCAATAAACAAGGGCATATTCGGTCATTTTACTCATTTACTCATCTTGTTTCCATCAATATAATTTTAGTGAATTATTATAATATGCCACATGGCTAACGTCCTTCGTCCCAGTTCTCATTCTTTAATGCATTTGCCCGCTAGATAAATGGCTGCAATGCCATCGCTCTTCATATCTCTGGTATAGATAAAATCTCATAAAACCAAACATGGCAATCAGGCAATATAACCACCATGGCATCCCGACGCACACTCCGAGCTAGGTAATCAAAGGCACTGGCTTCATGCCACATGGGTTTTCTTCATTTTTATGAGGAAGACGTTGATTCATCCGCCAAAAGGGCACGCTCGAGTGCGGTGCGCAGCTCCTCCGTTTCCTCGCGCTCTTTCGTTTCGTCACCGTGCGGCAACACGACCTTTTGCGTCTCGTCGTCGGTTTCCTGTTCCTCACCCGCGGCCGTCTTGTCCGTCTTGTCCGTTTCGCCCGCCTTCTCCTCGTCCGTTGCTTGTTGCGCCAGGATGGCCAACCACCGCTTGCGCTCTGCCTGCGCAGCCGCGGTCGTCATCATACTCGCCGTCTTTTGCTTCTGGCGCAGCTTGAACACTACCCGCTTGGCCGACGGGAGCCGCTCTGGGCCGGAGGTGTCGGAGGCGCTATTGTTCACAGGCGTGGCGGCCTGCCGACTAGCGGACGAGGTCCCTGCGACAATGTTCCACTGGTCGTCGTTGTTATCGTCGTCGTTGTCGTCGTCGTCGTCCCAGATGGTGTTGGCGTTGTTGCTGCCAGCTGCTGTCTGCTTCGTCCCTCGACGAAGAATGTTGTACTGGGCGTCGACATGGCACAGGGCGGGCCGGTTCTCCTTGCTGCTGCCGGTATCGGGCGACCACCAGGCGTTCATGTACGAGAGCAAAAAGAGGAGCAGCTGCTGCACGACGGCCGGTGCCGCCGCCGGGATGAGCACGCGCAGGATGACATCACCGCTGGGCTGGACGGTATGCTGGTGGAGCGCAGCCGCGACCATGGGCGACGTCGAAGAGCCGAGACCAGACGAGGGCGCCCACCGTCTCTCTTGCTGCTGCTGCTCGTGCCAGGCTTCGACAATTGTCTGAAAGGCGTCGTTGTCGAGGATGGTGGCGGTGTCGGCGTTGTTGATGTTGCTGCTTTTGTCGCTGTTCTCGGCCGTCACTGCCGCAGCCAAGGCAGCGGGCACAAAGATGGCGTTGTAGGGCCGCCTGCGCTCGGCGGGGCGGAACGCGTCGTCTAGGGCCGCTTCCTGTGCCGCCTCCTTGGCTTTGAGAGACGCTGCCAAGGCCACTTCAGCCTCACGCTCCGCTTCCTCGGCCTCGGCCTTGTCACGAAGGTGCAGGTAGATCTCCTCGCTCTCGGCCAGCGAGATGTCTGGCACGGCCGGCGTCCCAGTGCGAGGGCGGGTCAAGAACACGTAGCGGTGCGGCTCCACGTCACGGCTCTCGCTGCGCAGATTGAAGCTTTCGGCCAACATGTGTAAAAACTGGCGCTCATGTCGTTTCATGGGCTTGAAGATGCACGCCTTGTCGGCACCACTCACTGCCACGGATCCGGATGGCTCTGCAGGCGTCGACGGCGTCGAGGTAAAAAACGCGCGAATCTTGTCCTCTTGGGCGGTCGCAAAGTCGCGGTTCGCCATAAAGTACTCCATCAGGGCAGTCGAGTATACCAGGTGCTCGTCCTTGTAGTCGTCGGATATGCGCAAGGCGTCCTTGAGCTGGGCATTCCGTTGGATACGCAGACACTCGTCGTCACACTCGGGGCGGCGGTGGGTCGGCGTCGGGTCTGCAGTGCACACGTTGCAGCGCACTTTGCGCGTCTGGCGCTGGCAGGGGCAGGTGACCTCGACGGCGGCGCCGCAGGGTTCGACTTCGCTGCAGACGTCGTCTGCGCCGTGGCATGGATTGGCGCACGGATGGCCACAGGTGGCCTTGGGCCGGCCACAGACTTGGCTGCAGACAGCGCTGTCTCCGTCCACCTCGGTCGTGTCTTCGCATTTGCCTTTGGCATGGCACGGTAGCCTACAGGCATGCACGCCACACTTGAGTGTTTTGCCACATATGTTGCTACATTGGATGTTATCGGCGCCACAGGCCACGCGGTTGAGGACCAGCTTGCCGCAGAGGCACGACTTGGAAACGAGACGCTGGCAGCGCGGACAAGGCTGCTGTTGGCTGTCGTGGCAGCGGTGAGGAATCGAGGGATGGCCACAAGGCAGTGGTCGCGGGCAGTCCGCGTCGCAGGCTGGCAGCACAGTGCCACACAAGTAGGGCGCCGACACGACTGTCTGGCCGCAGGGACAGCTCATATCCTCTAGAACATATGCGACACACGAGTGGCAGGCGCCCTTGTGGCAGACCTGTGGGCAGGTGTGCTGGCCGCACTTGAGGAGTCGGCCGCACGGGCGCAGACAGGTATGCTCAGCCTCGATTTCGTCTTGTGCCGCGGAGCCCCGAGCAGCATTGCGCCCTTTGGGCTGTTTCATGCGCGCCGCGGCCTTGGGCTTACCCGGACAGCAGACAATATTGCAGCGGTGCTGCCGACAGCTGAGCCAGGAGCGGCAGACGGTCTCGCACTGCACGTCGTCGCGCGCGGCGCGGTCGCTGCAGACGACGGGCGACGACATCTGGCCACATGCGCAGGACGCATTGACAACCATTGCACAAGGGGGACAGGCGCCCGCATGGCAGGTCGCAGGACAGCTGTGGCCACAGTCCAGGGCCTTGCCACAGACCTTGTCGCAGGCCGGAATCGGGTCTTCACACGACGTGCGGGCCGGACTGGCATCATCCCCACCAGCCGAGCCAAGCAGCGTCTTTCCGCAGAGGCAGTGCGTGATGACTTCGGGCGAGGCCGGGCAGTGTGTCGGCGTCGCGTCCTGGGCATGGCACGGCTTCTTGCAAAAGTGCTTGCCACAGTCAAACGCGCGGCCGCAGACAGTGTCGCAGCGGAAGGTGCCTTCAAACGAAGACATGCTCGTGCCGCCGTACACCAGCTGGCCGTAGTTGGCCGACGACTGTGCGGGCTCGCGGGCCTTGCAGGGGATGTCCTGTCGTGTCTTGCCACAGAAACAGGTGGACGCCAGGGGCACCGTGCACGCACCGCAGTCGTCCGGATGACAGGTCCTCTGACACTTGTGCATGCGGCAGGCGAGGGTGTTGTCGCAGATCGCACCACAGGTCCATGACCGCTGGACACCTGCGGCACACGGCTTGGTCGATGTTTCCTTGCCGCAGAAGCACGTCACGAGCGGACCCATCTCAGGGCAGGGAGGGCAGGGGCCGGCATGGCAGGGGCTCGGGCACGTGTGGTGGCAGTCGGCACGCGCGCGGCCACAGATTCGGCCGCACGAGTGCGGGGCCAGAGCGGCAGGTGCCACGCCGGCCGTCTTCTGCTTGCCGCACCAGCACAGCTTGCGGCCAAAGAAACCGCCGGTCCCGCTGCCGTTGTCATTTCCGCGTGGGACTGTAATGTCAACGGCCGCCGCCGCTGCCTCGGTATTGCATGCCGGGCAGCGGATCTTCTCGAGGGCAAGGCCCTGGTTCAGCGCCTGCTTTACCCACGCCGACACGCACGTGTAGTGCGCCACGTGGTAGCACATGGAGCATGCCCAGATCTTGGAGCCGCGCGTCACGGCGTTGAGGCAGATTGGGCAGTCGTAGTTGCCCGAGTCAATGTCCTCGTGCATGCGTGTGGGCAGGTCAGGCGCGGTCGACGGCGGCACCCTGGGAGCTCCGTAGCTCGAGACCGAGCCGGCGGCGGAGCCCTCTGTTTCCAGGTCGGGCGGACGTGCTGCCTGATCAGCCGCACGTGCAGCACGTGCCAGAGCGCGGCGCGACAGGTGTGGTTGTGCCTGTGGCGTCTCGTGTCCGTTTGCTGGAGCCTGTGGTCCAGATAGCTGGTCACCAAACATGCGCGGCGGTGCTATCAACGAGCCTCTGCCCCGTCCACCACGCCCACCACGGGCTGCTCCTCCCCGTCCACCGCGACCTCCCCGTCCCCGCTCGGGCAGTTGGGACTCTTGCTGGGCCTCCTGCTGGGCCTGCTGTTGGATCGGCTGTTGAGTCAGAGCAGGAGGACGCTGCTGGACTACGGGCCGGTTCTGTTGGATGGGCGGCCGACTGCCACGTCCCCGTCCAGCGTCATTTGGAGGACGCTGTCTCCGTCCACGGGCGGCACCTTGACGTGACTCTACGCCGTCTTGCTGTGAGACCTGCGGAGGCTGCGACGGCAATTGGTGGCTGACACCCTGTGTTGTACCTTGCGCGACTGGGCTTGCCGTTGAAGCACCTGGGCTGGATGCCTGGGGTGCCCATGAACTCGCCGTCGGATTCAAGCCCGACGTGGGAGCGGACATGCTCAATGTAATGGCTGCACGCAGCGTCTTCTGATGACTGTGCTTGCGACGGCTGAATTGGCGACGTCTGGTCGGTCTGGCTGTTTAAGCTGTTGGATAATGGTGTACGTGGTAGACGAGAGTCGCTGCATGCTCAAACGAGTTTTGTACAAGCGAGTGAAGATATATATCGTGATATATCGTGATATATATCGATATATGGCGAGAAACGATGCGAGAAGCGCTTGATCGAAGCAGATTCAAAAGCGTAATATGTATCCTGACTTTCTGACGGCTGTTTTGACGTTGCAAAAGGAAGAAAATAAATATGAGAGGAAAGAGAACAGTGATAATACAGGGAAACAGAGCAACGGCCGGCTCTGGAGCGACTTATGGTGGTCTCCTGGAGCTTCGTTCTTTGTCATTCTTTTTTGTTGTTGTGTCGTTCGCCAACTTTTCCGCCTTGTAAGCTTTTGTCCTGCAATAGGGAGTCACACGGTGGGGAATACACCTGCGCTACTGTACGCTGCGGCAGGTGCAGATGGCACTGCCTGCCTATTTGCAACACTTTCAGAATTTCAGGCCGGGTGGCAAGAGCGCCCCAAAATTTTCAGAAACGCTCCGGGTGGCACTTTCCGTACTATGACTGAGGTACAGCTCCTCAAACAGCGGAAGGAACAAAGGTCGACTCATAATCATCTGCTGCCGTTTGTGGGCCTCAGCTGAGATACGGAGAGCGAATGACCGAAGGAGTCCATAATACAGTATTCCATCAATCCCTGCCTTTTTATTTATTTCGTTTTTGTGAACTCTGCTTAGCAGTTCCAAAGAGACACATGAGATGAAATACAAGAGGATGTAACAAGATCATAGCGATTGAAGCGCAGCAAGGTTCTCCACAAAAGTGGCGGAGGCTGGAAGGAGCGAACCTTGCGCCTGCCGCATCTTAGGTCAATCACGCAAGCACACGAGCACTCAACATCAGCTCTTCTTCTACAGTGTCTACAACGACTGAGAATGCACTCACATGTGGTCGGCAACAAAGTCAATTTAACCACACCAGATACAGTGGCGAGGCAGTCAGTCCATATCGGAGTGAAAATGGCGTCCGCGGGCCCGCACGAAGGACCAGAAGACGTGAACTGGCAAGACACCGTTCGATCAGCATGGCTCGCCTCACGCCGACACAGCTTCACTCAGAACGGTACCAGTGCAGCTACCGACGACGATGACCGCTTTCGCCGCTGCTGGGGCCGCAATAGCTGCAGTTCCTGTCTCGACATCTCAGCCTGCAGCTGGTGTCCTTTTGTACGTTACTGTGTTGTATTCGTGTCTCATAGTCTCGTCACTATCATGTATTTACTTTCGCATCTCACACAACTACCCTTTCCTTCTAGAGCGCCACTTGCGTGCCCAACGACTACCGCATCCCGGCGCTGGCACCGGCTTGGGAGGGCGACTTCGTCTGCCCGCACTGGGCCGAGCGCTGGGAGCTGCGCACACGGCCCCTGGGCTGCCAGGTATCGACGATTACGAGCCTGACGGCGCTGGTGGCCGGGTCCAGCACGTTGCTCGTTGCGCTGCTGCTCTGGCTGCTGGTGGTTGTCGTCCGGCGACTGCGTCGAGCCCAGTGGTCGTCTGTCCGGCCGTGGCTGGTGACAGCGGTCTTGCGGCGACCCGACAGCCGGTCGCCATCAAGAGGACCAGGACCACCAGAGCGCCCGGTCGACAACGACCAGACGCCCCTACTGTCCGACGTACGATGAAGCGACGAGGCGATGCGTGCCATCCCACCATCCGGTCCTGCCGAATATACAATAGCCACCCCCCCTCGATCCCGCCTCAGCCCGAGCTCACAGGAGGAATGACGGCGACCTCGTCACCCTCTTGGATCACGATGCCACCGCCCTCGGCGTCCGTGTCCACGTCCACATACTCGAGGTTGATCGTCACCAGGCTCCCGTCCAGCACGCCTGCCCGGATCCCAGTGTACCGCGTCTCAAGAGTTGCAAACAGCTCCGCCAGCGGCAGCGGTGCCGGCAGCGCCTCGTAGTCCTTGTGGGTGTATGACGTGGCGGCTGCAAAGTAGAGCATGTTGAAGTGGCCCTTGGGCGGCCGCGGCGGCGTGGCCATGGGATTCTCCCGACGGGGTGCGCTGGAGCGACTGGTTCGACTTCCGAGTGCCAAGCTCAAGGAAGAAGCGAACAACAACGACTGCAACTGTTAGCAAAGTGAACGCAGAAGAACGAACATGGAAAAGTAACAGTGATAAAAGTTTTGGTCGTCAGAGATCTTGGTGATAATGAGAACAATCATAGAAAATCAAGAATATAGTGCTTTATATAGTTATGCATCATTCAACCGTAAGTAGAAATGGAAACAGAAAACAGAACTTGTGCATGCTTACCCTTGGAAAGTGTTGTTGTTGCAAAAAGAGCGGGAGAAGGACAGGAAAGGCAGAAGAGAAAGAAGAAAAGGCAGAGAATTTATGGCCAAGGGAATTTGGAGTGGGGACGCAGAAAACAGCTTTCTTCACAACAAAATATCACGTGATTGGAATTTGGTACCAAACTTCTTCTCTCGCGCAACGGTTCAATCATTTGCTTCGAGATTCAGTCGATCACCAACAATGTTACGTCACGGCTGCGACTCAAGAGTTTTGGTCAATGGTGGTTTTGGATGTATAAGCCCTCTCGTCTTGTTCTAAAAAACACATGGAGAAACCCCCGGTTCTCTCCCGTCCGTTTTTCCACCAGAGAAACAACCAAAAGAAAAAAAAAAAACTAAAGAACAAGTAAATGTGCAAAAAGAACAGACGCAAGGTACGGTGGAAGAGTGTCCGTCACACCATGCATGCATCCTTCACCACCCAGAGCTTGGTAGCCACTGCCCGAAAAAATCGATTTGTTCCTGCCAGCAGTCGCACTCTGGTTGGCTTTCGTTTTGTTTTTTTCCCATAAAAAAAGAATGATGTACTCCTTTTTCAATCCCATGCACGCCCTCCGTTGCCGCTTGATCGACGAGGTGAGGCCTCGAGCAAGTTGGTGGCTGCTGTTGGCCGCCGCCTCCGTCCTACTACCACGTCCTCATTCGTTCATGCCGGTTCGGATATCTGGTTTTTCTTGATTTGATTTATTTAGATTTTAAAGTTTGTCGTTTGTCGCTCGTCGCTTGTCGCTCGTCGGCCGTCCATCGTTCGCGGGTGCGCAGCGCCTATCTCAGGCGGCGAGCCTCACGCTCAGACTCGAGCAGGCACAGGATGTCGTCCTCGCGGACTGCAGTTATGTTAGCCAAGCGTTCCCGACACTACAAAATCCGACTCCGGCGGCAATGTTTCCTCCCGTTGCGCTGAACGTACCAGGGCCCTTGACGTTGCGGATGATGCTGCGGGTCTGGTCGTCCATGAACTCGACGCGGACCTGGGTGACACCACCACGCGAACCGGTGCGGCCGAGGACGCGGGTGACCTTGACCAACTTGACGGGCTGCTTCGAAGAATCCATTTTGAGATGTGTATGTATGTGTGGTTATCCGAAGACGAGTGGGCGAGGGAGCGGTTGATCGTGCGTGGTTGTGGTGGGAAAAAGATCGTAGGTGGTCGAAATCGTGATGGTGGAAGGGGAAGGGGAAAGCGTGGGCGGAACAAGCGTGGAAAAAAGTTGACGCTGTGCAGTTTTTTCCGCAGCGCACACATTTTTTTCGCACGACCTGCCCGCCCATTTGCCTTATGTAAGCGCTGAAATAGGGCGAAAAATTAGGGAAATAATGTTTGTGGGCAAGAGCCCCGCCGCTTGCGAGGTAATCTTGTATGATTGGTCAAATTCAGAACGACACCCAAAGCTGCTCGTCCCACATGTTTTGAGCGTTCCTGTCCTCACAGTCCCCATTTTTATTTTCAAGCTACGATGTAGAGGGAGGCAACGAGGCTACTCCACAGCAGGTGTCCAGTAAAAGCAAGGCCCCAAAGGTCCCAAATTGGCAGCCGCGTCTAGCACGCCGAAACACGTCCCGGGAGCCAATCAGTGCGCTAAGTCGCAGTGGACCCAACATCGCGAGGAGCTTCCCCTATCCAGTTCAGAGCGTCACTTATCAAACTGCCACCGCACACCTATATGGGATCGCACCACCATTTCCGACAAGATCATGGCTCTCAACAGGAAATACTCGGCACTGCCCGATTTGGTGAGTACCGTGCCAGGAAGCCTTAGTCTGTGGAAGCTCGCTCCTGTTGATTGCAGCTCCTCTAACAACTCTAGGACACGGCACCAGATATTTACGAAACGCCCGAGCTCACAGACGACAACTCCACGGTCCTGACGACAACGGGTCGGTCACCTTCTGATGAGTCCGATGACAACGACGACGACGATGACGTCGACACGGGCATCTCGCGATCCCGTGTCCAAGTCGGCCAAGCCCGCTCGCGCTTTGTCGGATCAACGGTCGACGCGCGCGGCGTTGACTTTTCGGACCGTGTTGACGGCAAGCGGAAATCGTACAGAACAGCAACATCGGCACGGCGGCGGAGGCGGCAGCAACAGGCTGTCTTAGGCGACGTGAGCGACGACGACGGCGAAGGAAATGAAAACGGTGATGACGACGACGAAGACAGCGACTCGCCCGACGGCCTGGAGCGTAAGATTGCCCGCTTAAAACGGGAGGTGGAAGAGGCCAAGCTGGCCTACAACCGGCAAAAAGCCGAGGCGGCAGCAGCCAAGGCAAACGCCAAAGGCGCCGCACCGGGAACCGAGGCGGGACGTGACCTCGACTCGCTGAGCCAGGCGCTCGACGACATTGCACGCCTCGCCGACGAGCACGCCGCCACGACAACACGTTCTCTGGCGCCGGGGCCTCCGACAACAGCGCCCGCCGAATCTGCTTCTTCTCCATCTCCATCTCCATCCGCGCCTGCGCCCTCGGCGGCCGGCGCACATGCGCTCGCCCAGACCGCCGATTTTGACCGCCGCCTCGTGCTCCTCGAGCGGTCCATTGGCATCGAGGGCGGCGACGGTGCCGGCCTGCCCCGCGCCATCCTGCCCACCCTCGACGCCCTCCAGCGCCAGATCGGCACCCTGGCCGACGCTTCGACGGCCTCGCTCGACGGCATCGCGCGTCGTGTCCGCACCCTCGCCCAGGAGGCCGACCAGCTGGCCAAGGCACGCCAGGCTGCCAAAGCCGCCCAAGAGGCGCTGGCCGACGTGACGGGCGGCAAGGCGGCGGACGGTCCAGGCCACACCGCCAAGGATGCGTCCAGGGATGCGTCCAAGGAGGCGTCCAAGGACGACGGCGACGACGCCAAAATCAACGCCCTGTACGGCACGCTGCCCACGATTGAGCAGCTGGCGCCGCTGCTGCCGCCGCTGCTGGACCGGCTGCGGTCGCTGCGGGCGATCCACGCCGATGCAGCGGGCGCCAGCGAGCTGCTGGACGCGCTGGCGCAGCAGCAGGCGGACACGGCGGCCGAAGTCAAGCAATGGCGGCAGGGCCTCGACACGATGGAGGCCGCACTGCGGGACGGCGAGACGACGATGGGCAAGAACGCGCAGGTGATGGAGGGCTGGGTCAAGGGGCTGGAGGCACGGCTCGACAAGTTGGCGTGAACGACGTTGTGAAGAGGCAGATATCTTTTTGTCAAGCACCTGCATATAATACCCTCCATCTGTGCCTATGTTTTGTGCTTTAATTTTACTGGTTTTGTTCCGCTTTCCGTCATCTACATTCTATAGTGAACAACGGTGGGTTTGGACAAAGCTCGACCCAGCTTTGCCGAGACTGCATGCGCCTCATCAGTATATCAGTTTCATACTTTGCTTTTGTATCGACGTTCACATTCACATTCGTGCATGCTTTAGCGTTACACAGCGCATGAGCTCTGCACTTTAGGGGCTTGGGTGGCCCATAGTGGGGCCACGGCCGTGACTTTTAGTGCTAAAACGGCGTTATGCCAGAAAACGCGTCTCGCAACATCGCGCCTTACTTTGCACAGCTAGCTATTGCAGTACGTCGTGCTCTGACGTCGTTCTTCTTTGTGTTTGGTCCACAACTAGATTGCGTTTGAGATGCATTCTGAATTGATTTCAGATCCAACTCCCACCTAAAGGACCCCCCGGGTTCAGAAAGCACCTTCGTCACCAGCGATTCCCAGCTTGAACGCACCCCGTTTTTCTTTGGATCGGCTGTTGTCGAAACACTTGTTGTCGGACATCATCTGATACCGGCCGGGGGGAAAGACCATGGCGCCTCGGTGGCAGCCACCCAGGCGTGGTGTCATTGCTCCTCCATCCCGGGGTCTTACAGCCGCTTTGCGGGCCAGGAAGGCTATGGAGGCCGCAGCAGCAGCAGCACCAAAACGGCCGGTGCGTGTGGCCGCATCCGTCGATGCACCTCCTCTTAGCAGCAGCGATGACGAGGATGCGGACGAGGACAAAGACGAGGATCAGGAGACAGACGGCAACATGGGGCTGTCCGACGACATTTCAGACTCGTCGTCGCCCGAGAACGACCGCTCCCGCGGCAGCATACGGCGGACAGCGTTCAAGCGACCAGGAGGTGCAGCCACGAGGGCGGATAGCTCACGAGATGCCGGCTCGCGACGACGGAGCCATCTGCTGGTGGCTGGCGAGATGCGTAAGAGCAACGTTGGCGGCAGCAGTGGCAGCAACAATGGCAGCGGCTGCGACGGCGGGCAGCGTGGGACCAAGCGGCCACGGCCAGACGAGGAGGCGGCGCCGACAACAGCCAACGGGAAGGGTGGTGACAGCAGCCACAGTAATGGCGTTGTACGTTCAAGGCCAGCACCAAGGGCTACGTACGGCGGCCGCAAACGGCCCGGGCTGGCGACAGCACGCAGTGTATCCAGCACATCAGCGAAGGCAAAAGTGTCATTTAAGCGGCATGAGGACAGCGTCAGCGACATCAGCGAGCCAGACGAGACGGCGGAAAAGGCTCGTGCGCCAAAGGCCCGGTTTATCAAGCCGCCGGAGCTGTCTCCCGAGAAGCCCAAGACACCGGCAAAGTTCAAGCACAGCACCTGGGCGCGGTCCGATGACGACAGCGAGGATGAAAAAGAGGCCAAAGGGAACAAGAAGGGCACAGTATCGGCACTGATAGCTAAGCCTACATTCAAGCTACCA